AGAATTTTTAAAAAATTTTAAGACATTATTGCTAAAAAGAGATATAATAGTTTCAAATATCAATATGAAACTGTTTAAATATTTATTATTTACCAATTATAAACATTTGTTTAAATCTTAGGGAAATATTTCGGATTACAAAATTTGCATTATTACATTTTATCATATGACATCATCGTCGTTAATCAATATTTGAGAAGAGCAATGACGACAGAAACACGTGTTTAACAATACTTAAAATTTATTATAAATTTATTATTTTTTTTTTTAAATATAATTTTAAAGAATTTTAAAACTTAAATATAATCTTAAAAATGTCAATAAAAAATAAGAAAAAAAATTATAAGAATAATATATAATATTATATATAATATATTTAAAAAAATTTAAAGTATTTTATTGAAATTAAATTTTGTTCTTTTTTGATGAAAATTTTTAATATAAATAATAAAGTTGAAGGTTATCAAAGAATGAAGATTATTAAAAGACATTTACTTGGCTTCCACTGTAAAATTATTTTTAGTTTCAGATCTAGATGGTATTAGATATAAAGATTAAGTAAGTCAAAATATGCTTATTAACATTTCGTAAAATACTTAATATATTAACTACAAAAAATAATTTACTAGAAATAGATATTATACATTTATCATTTAGAAATGAATTTAATTATATTTTTTAAATATAATGTTTGATTAAGTCGTATCTTTATAAAAATACGATCTTCTAAATTCATTATGAACGTTTGTATAACTTCCCTAAAACTAAATTAAATATCGCAATTTCTTCTAGAATTTACTAAATATGATTTACGGGTTATCATTGATATTTCATATAGACCCCATTGACCCTAGATTTTCTGAGTAAAAGTGCATAATAAATGAAATATATAAATTATTTTATTAATCAAAATGAAACATTATAATAAGCTAACGATGAAAGTACAATATAGACAAGGTAATTTTGATATTGATTTAAATATGATAAAATGTAAATATAATTACTTAAAATACCGATTCCTCTGTGAACCCTCAAATTTTTTCACATTGTAGCATTTGCGACATTATTTCTCATAATTTTTTTCAGAAATTACTTCTTAAGATATATTATTTAAATTATAAAATATAAAATTTGAAATTTAAGATTTTATTTAACTTATTTTATAAAATAAAAATATTTTACAGAATGCATTACAACTAATGTTTAATCTTTGATAATTTAAACTTACAGCATTTTATATTAAATAATTAACTTTGAAAAATTTTTATAAAAAAATATATGTTTTATTAAATATGCCAATATTATGTATTATTATATACATAATAATATATAAATAATGTTAAATTGTTAATATTAAATATTAAATTAATCTATACATTTTTTTTAAAATAAAATTTTATTATAGTATATTTAAACAAAAAAGTTGTGAATCGATAAAAATCTGATAAAGTTAAACTGAATAAAAAAAAATTAAGTAAATAGATTGAATGTTTATATATTATCAATTAGAGAAATATTTAATCTTTGTGATTATGGATTATATTACTTCGTAATAAAATAAATTAGTTCATATTCAATTTTAATTTCAGAAATACAATTTCTTTCTCTTTCTTTGGTATACATATATATATATATATGCATACGCGCATATATATACAATGCGCGTTAACATTGTGCAACGCGGAAAAATCGTTGAAAAAAGATAATAAATGAAATAAAATTTATCAAACAGCAAAATGATTGATAGTTTTTGCTTAAAAAAATATATACTTTAAATTGTTTATACAAATTTAAAATAAAATTATGGAAATTTTTTTCTTATTCCTACAAATAAAATTAATTTATATTTTTATATCGTAAATGTTTTATTAAAAAATTCTTATTCATAAGCACACATGTTATATATATGATATGATAAAGTTTAATTTTTATATCAATATAAGATATGACAATTAGAAAGAAGTAATTAATCTTTTCTTATACAAAACAAATCCGCAAACAAATCAATAATCATAATAATTCTATATTGTTTCTATTTCAAATAAATAATAATCAAATATCAAATTGGAATTTAATTAAAAAATCAATAATGATATATTGAAAAAAGAAGTTCATTTTAAATCTCTTTTAATTTTTAAATTCTTTTTAATTAATAAAAGATTAAGAATGTCTCTAATGAATAGAGACATCTTATCTCGTTATAAACTTCTTTTATACTATATTAATTCGTTAAATTTATGTCAATAAAAAACAAAATACACATAAAAATAAAAAACAAAATAT